CAATTTTATAAAGTACACAAGCAGTGTACTTTAAGGCGGTTGGGGACCCCTGCTTTACTGTATAATGAATAACCTACAAGTGTGTGAACATGATAACAGTAACAATTTATAGAGAACAAGGAGTAGGACTAGTTACATTTTGCTACTTCTTCCTCATCCCTTTCAAAATGTAAACTGTACTGAAATAAGACATCAACAAAAATGATCTTTTTCTTTCTGTCAGCTTTGTATTTTCTATATCTTTTTATGTTTCTATGTTCAATCAATCAATCTGATCTGGTCATTTTTAGCCCATACAATGATGGCCCGCAGCAGCTTCTAAAAATATGCACTAGTATGGTGATGATTTTTATATAAAACATATCTGGGCCATGTTATTTCAGGTACGGGCTGTCATGTGCCGAAAACGTAGTTGACGTTGTGGTGTGGCAATAAGGTGCGCCAAAATAATGGTTGACAGGGGGCGGGGGGCATGATGTCCAGGACTGACCTGTAAATACACCGGCTGTTCGGGAAAAAAATTCCCAATGGCCACCCGCCCCTGTGTCTGTTTTGTACTGCCCGAAGGCAGCTGGGTAGGCTACAGCGTGCCCCATGACCCTTCAGAAAATGGATGGATGGACAATAAGAAGAAGAAGATGTAATATTTATAAAATAAGTGTTGGGTTCAGCAAAAGGTGGATTTTTTTTTTCTTGAAAAGTCAAAGCTATAAATTACAACGCACAGTAAAATCCGTATTTGGCAAGCTTTTGTAGGCCACATTTAACAAAACAACAACAAAAAAATATCTCAAAAACTTCATGTTTTAACATAAGGATGTTTTTGAAACCAGTGTAAAAAATACATTTAGGGAGACATTTTTGAAAATGGTTAAAATTTGTTGTTGGGCAATCTTATTGGCCCAAAGCAAAGGAAAGACCATCATAAGTGCTTCGCTTGTCATCAGAGGGATGCAGGTGGCGAGTGTGTAAATCTTCACACGCCTCGGTGCTTTCATGTCAGGTCCATCAATTTGACATAAAACACAAGGAGGAGACAGGAGACTCAATTCTGGTACCAGGGGGGAACGAGGACGAGCACGTCACCCCAGGATCTCCCCGCTCGCCCTTTCATTTATTGGGAATCTAATACATGGGTGTGTCCAACCTAAAGGATGAGGGCTGTTGAAGACACACTGAACTTGTTTGACTATGTGTGTGTATGTGAGTGAAAATTACATACATGTGTGCAATCATTACAAAAACACCAAGTTGCAGCTGGTGTTGACAATTCCGTCTGCGTCCGACCTTGCTCTTGTTTTGTCTTAATACTTATCTCTTTCCAACGACTTTCTCGGAAAGGTGGTTGCGTCCCTCAACTGCCACACAGTGCACTCAGCATTCTTGATTATAAACGTGAGTATATAATGATTAAAAGCATTATATCTTTATTAAAAGCATAAGTGTTTTTCATTGCAGGCATAATCAATTTATCATTAAAGGCATAAGCATTCTCCTTTGTGAGCATAAACAATCTATTATTAATAATAAGAAAATGTATGATAACTAAAAACAATCAACCTAACACTTCATCAGCGATTAACTCACATGGACCCACAATACATGTACATTGCATATGTGAGTCCATATTGAAGTTGAACGATAACACTTTATTGGTTGGTAATGTGAATGTACTGTATACACAACTATTGGGACAATCAAATACATAGGGATTGTACCTTCAGCTACGTGGGTTAGCCTGCAAGGAGATTAACTGGGAAATAGCGAGCCAGCCACTCTGCCACGACTTCACAAAGCACCCAGTGTTGACACTGGGACAAGTATATTGGTGGGAAAACTCGCAGCTTTGGGCAGAAGTTCCAGCTTCTGCCACCCTGGTCCACCTCCTTCCAATACATGATCAGGATCCTCAATAGCTCAGAACGCATCTGGGCATCTGTCAGCAAATTTTTATTGAATTTTTATTACGAAAAAGGGAGGGTTACTTCCATCAAATGCAATTGGCCAATTTTCCCAGCTTGTACCACTTGATTAGGTGGTGCAACAGTCGTCTCCAGACACGCAATTAGGTTCAGATGTTCCAGTAACTCGATTAAACATGCATGTGTAGAAACTCAAAAGACTGCACACAAAACAATCACAAAACCAAACAGCAATCAAACATTAAGCAATGTTCACACAAATATTAATCCATCCATCCATTTTGTAATGGAAGTTTTGCAACCGTCTCACAAGGGTTGTGGGCGTACTGGAGCCAATCCCAGCTATCTTCGGGCAGTAGGCGGGGTACACCCTAAACTGGCACACATGGACAAACAGGGACAATTCAGAGTGTTAAATTAACATTCGTTTGGAGGAAGAAACCCAAACAAAACTCAGCTCTGAGATTTTTTTTTGTGTGTGTGTGTGTGTGTGTGTGTGTGCGTGTGTGTGTGTGTGTGTGTGTGTGCGTGTGTGCGCGCGCACGCATGCGTGTGCGTGTGTGTGTGCGTGTATGCGCGTGTGCCAATGTGAGTTGTATTTTGCTTTGTAGAATCAGTCAACAATATGTATATCTAGTCACTGTTTGTGTAATGACAACACTCGATTGACTTGCGTGAGGGCAACGTAGAATCGGTTTCCACTCAGTGACGGTGTGGGTGTGTGCGTGAATGGTTGTTTGTCTCCATATATGCCCTGCGACGGACTGGCAACCAGTTCAAGGTGAAGCGCGCCTTCATCCGGGACAGGCTCCAGTAACTCCTCGTTACCCTGTTCATGATAAGCGGTGTTAAAAATGGATGGATGATTGATATCTTCGGCGAAGTGTATTTGCAGGAGAGAAGGGCTGAAGGTACGTCATCACGTACGTTGCGTCACGCCGTCGTCATCACAACGTCTCGGGAACTTTACAGGAAGTGACTGGACTACCGCTCTCCTCTTCTGCGTTGATCAACGACCGGTCGTATTGTGCTATTTTAACTTGTTTTTTTAAAACAAACAGTTCTGTTCCACCGCACAGTTCTCTGTACTCAGTCGTGTGAACGGAGAGCACAGCAGAGTGCTTTCAAAGCTCCTAGCATGTTGCTGTTTCAGCTCCCAGAGGATGTTTTGTATCACATACTGTCTTATTTGGACTGTAAAACACTGAGTCGTCTTTCTCAGGTTTCTAAAGTGATTTGCCACATTGTTAGCCGCGATGTGGTGTGGAAGAATATTGCCAAAGGGTTGCTAAACACTGGAATAACTCGATATTGGACAGACATGTAAGATAAGTCACGCGAGTGTTGTGTGTATTTTTATTTAGCATTAAGCACAAGCATGCTACCCTTGATGCGGTGGTGGATTGGATGAATGGGTTCTGTCACACTGTATGTAAGATACAGTACGAGCTCGCTGTAATAAAGACGTACACATTTATCTATTTGTAAAAGTGAAAAAAGTTCACACTGAAATGTGTTTAGGTCCAAAAGTAAATCGCGATTCTTAATTATATACAGTACATTACCCGTTTTCTTTAACTCCGCATAATGGAAAAAGCAATCGCAACTACTACCGCTGCACACAGGGGTGGTTAAGTTAAGTTACAATTTGTGTCAGAAAAGTTGAATGTCTGGGGTAACAAAAGATATATTTCAATTCCGAACTACAACTTTTCCCTGGAGTGTAATGCACATTCCCAGCCTCCTCTGCATTGCCCTAATGGACTCCCGCGAACGGGATCCTCTGCAGCTCTGTTGTCCCAGAACCCCCTTGAGCTTGGTAAAGAGTGGGTGGTAATCACAGCAAGACGGGGTCGGGTTAGGAGGGAGGTTGCTCCAGCATGGCACATTCTTCCCAGCTCGGAACTGTTGGATGCTCAGGGCATTAAGGCAACAATGAGTTGTCCTGCCGCAACTCAAGCCTCTTCCCACTCCTTGAACGAAGTACAGTAGGATCACTTGGTTGATAATCTGGCCCACAGTGAAGAGGACAAGTCAGAATTTGTATTTGGGCTTTTAAATAAATCTTTTGTAGCACAAGTCTGGGAACTATTATGACACACTGATCTATTATTATGATCTATAACTATTATCACACAATGATCAAAACCACTGTCCAACCCTAACCCGGTGGTTCTTAATACTTTTTCACAGCGCTGTACATATACTGCCTTTGAGAAGTAATTCGACGGCTTGCGCCGGCCTATATGGAGTACTTGATCGCTTGCTAGCTCAGCTAGCGCTTTCTTGTGCTGGATCCGTCTCTGAACGCAGTCAGCAGACACTTTACAATACAGCAGTGGTGTCAAACACATTTTTCTCATGGGTTACAGTGATCCCTCGCTATTTGGCGGTTGGGTCGTTTATCGCGACTTCAGTGCATCGCGGATTTTTTCAAACATATTCATAAAATATAAATATATATATATATATGTGTGTGTGTGTATATTTTTTTTCATATACATGGAGTACAGTACTGTATTTGCTGACTCGCAGCTTCTCGCGGACCGTTTGCGGACTTAAAAAAAAAAAATTTTATGTTAATTGGTCGCTACTTCGCGGATTTTCATTTATCGCCGGTGGTTTTGGTCTCCATTAACCGCGATAAACGAGGGATTACTGTACATTGTAGTTACTGTTTCCCTTGGAGGGCCGTTATGACTGTGAAACCATATGAAGAAGTCAAGAATAAAGGTTTATTCAAGTATTCGTTAAGTTAATGGTAATGAGTGTTTGGTAACAAGGAAATACTTACAATATCTCTCTTATTTATTACGTATGAGAATTTGAAATGTTGGTCCAGATTTTAGGAAGCATCATGGAAGCTGACATGTTTGATTTACTTTCGCGGGCCACATAAAATGATGTGGCGGGCCAGATCTGGGCCCCGGCCTTGAGTTTGACACCTCTGCAATACAGTGTCAATGTAATTAAGTTGTTTTTTTTAGTGCCCTTAACTAGCGATTAAACTTTATTTCATGACATGTTGTTGAAGCCGGTAGGAACATTTTATGAAGGCAAATGGTCCCAAACAGAGTCTGGAAGTCGGCCGTGACGCCGCAACATGCTGCCGGGATCAACTTCATTGATGCTCATATATTATTGGTAAGGTTCATACATGGCAATTTTCCGCGGATCCGCGGAAATCCGCCGTTTTATTTCTTAAATTGATCATTTTTGTGAATCGTCTAAATCCGTTGAGAAAATTTTAGGGGCGGTCAGGTA